AGTTAAGGGGAAAGACAAAAGAAACCAAAAGGAACAGCTGGAGTTCAATTGACATTAATTTGGAGATAATTAGGGCTGCTCATTATGGAAGAAATGAATGAAAGAGGGAAGAAGAAAAGGAAGAATAAGACATGTAGAAGAAGGAAGCAAAAGTGGGCAAGACAAAGAAGGAAAAAACGGGTGATTAATATAGTTAATTGGTTGGTCGTTGTTCATTAAAGAAAGAGAAAAAGAAGAGGAATTAAAGGGAGGCAAACTGATCATCATTTAGCAAGAAAAGAAAAGGAGAAAAAGGTTGCGGCAGGTAGAGATCGAGGGGAAGAAGGCAGTGGCAAAGCAAGAGATTTTCAAGCTTTTCTAAACTTAATTTTCTTTTAATTTTATGAACTCAATAATATTTCCGATTATGTTCCGGAACTAATTTCTTTTCGCTAGGGCTACAATGTAGCCTAACTATGAATTCTTAATTTCTTAGTTTAATTATTTATGAAGTTTCATGCACTTTGAGTATCATTTTACTGTGCTTATGAGCTTGATTTTAATCTTGGCAATTGGCCACCACTTTGGTTTGAGTTGAGTGTATTTGATGCGAGTCAACACAGATGTCATGTTGTTAATTCGGTTTTAGCGTCTTGCAAATGGTACCATGAATTCCTTGATGTGTATGCCATACACTAGGTTTCATGTCTCTTAAGTAGTTCTCAAATCGTTAATGAACTCGTGTGTGTTTAGTAATCTAGATGTCATAGATTGTTAGCACATATGAGTATACATAGTGTGACATCCCACATCGCCCAGGGAAGTGATCCTTAAATGTATATTCCCATCCCTACCTAGCACGAGGCCTTTTGGGAGCTCACTGGCTTCGGGTTCCATGGGAACTTCGAAGTTAAGCGAGTAGCGCACGAGAGCACTCCCAGGATGGGTGACCCATCGGGAAGTTCTCGTGTGAGTTCCCAGAAACAAAACCGTGAGGGCGTGGTTGGGGCCCAAAACGGACAATATCGTGCTACGGTGGTGGAGCGGGCCCGGGAAGTGGTGCCACCCGGGTCGGGATGTGACATATCTAGATGCTATGGATACTATATGAATTAGAAGAACTAGACCGTCAATTTGGATGATTACTCATTAATAATTAACTGTAGGAATTGACTTGGATTGGTTATGGTAAATCAGATGCTCTACTGTCTTTCGCAATTGATTTATAATTTGATTTCTTTGTTGTTCTTGTCATTTATTTAAGCTCATTTGATTTTTGTTTACGTTTATAATTTCAAAGTTCTTTCTCAAATCATCAATTTTTCCATTTCAATCTTAGTTGGAACAATCTTGTGCTTACCTACTATACTACTTAACGATTCGTACACTTGCGAGCATTAAAATTTGGACTTGATTGGGTTGATTTCGGTTAATCTAATTTTGGCAACAAGTTTTTGGCGCCGTTGTTGGGGATTGAATTAATTCTATTTCTAACTTATTTTTATTGTTATTTGTGTTGATTTTAATTTTTGTTTTTGCTTTCTTTTCTTTTCAGGTACTTTTTGAAGTTTATGCACGGTCACCATTCTCGAAGTTTAGAGCTTGTACCGTACGATTCAGAAATTGAGAGAACCTTTCGACACCTACGGAGAGCGCACACAATGCCACAAGGACCAATTGCGGAAATAGCTCTCCCTAATCTAAATGAGAACCAAATGTTGATATGCAAATTAGGATCTACGGTGACAACCTCTCTTTCATGCATAGTTCGTCCGCAAATTGCTACCAACAATTTTGAGTTGAAGCCATCATTTATTCAAATGATGCCGTCATTTTATGGCTTGTCAACCGAAGATCCTAATTTGCATATCAATGAGTTTCTAGAGATTTGTGACACTCTTAACATCCATAATGTGATGGATGAAGTCATTAGATTGCGTTTGTTCCCATTCTCACTGAAAGACAAGGCGAAGACTTGGCTCCAATCCCTTCCATCCAACTCGATCATAACTTGGAATGACTTGGCAAGAAAATTTTTGCAAAAATTCTTCCCTCATTCCAAGATTGCTAAGTTGAGGAATGACATTATGACTTTTGCTCAATTCCATGGTGAGCCATTTTATGAGAGTTGGGAACAATTTAGAGATTTGTTGTTGAAGTGCCCACACCATGGTCTACCGGAATGGCTGCAATTTCAGAATTTCTATCAAGGTTTAAGCACTGATAACAAGAGGATGATTGATGCTGCTAGTGGGGGTGCTCTAATGACAAAGACCGTTGATGAAGCTTCTGCACTATTCAATACGTTGACGGCTAATTCTCAAAAGTTGGGGTACCGATAGAGAATTATCGAAGAAGGCCGGAGTACATGAGATTGACACCATGTCGGCTAAAAAGTTTGATAATTTGATGACTATTAAATTTGTGAAATCATTTGATGTTGTTTGTGAAATTTGTGCAGGTATACATTCAAGTATCATGTGTCCCATAAGCAATTATTTTCCAGAGTTTATTCAAGAACAAGCCAATCAAGTGAACAACTTCAATCGCCAACAATTTGATCCATTTTCAGACAAATATAATCCTGGTTGGCGTCATCATCCAAATTTTGCTTGGAAGAACAATCAACAGAATCAAATGAACCCACCTATGCCATTCCAGAACAATGAAGCCAAAAAGATTTCCATGGAAGATATGATGGCTCAATTGGCTCAAACTACCAACACTCTTACTCAGAACACCGACAATTTCATGCAAGCAACTCAAACTTCTCTACAAAATCAACAAGCATCCATACACCAGCTAGAGAAGCAAGTTGGTCAAATTGCCAATGTGATGGTTGAAAGAGAGAGAAGGGCAAATTTCCAAGTCAAACTGAGATCAATCCCAAAAACCAAGAGCAAGTCAAGGCCATCACACTCTGGAGTGGGAAAATTGTAGAGAAAAAGAGTGAAGGAAAAATGGACTCGGTTGAAAAGTTGGTAACTGGCATCACTGAACCGCAAGAGGAAGAACGAGTACATGAGAAATTTTTTTCTCCACCTATTCTGTATCCTCAACGGTTACAAAAGGCTAAGAAAGATTAACACTTTTCTGATATATTTGATTTGTTTAAAAAAGTGAATATTAACATTCCCTTGCTTGATGCAGTGAAACAAATCTCGAGCTATGCAAAATTTTTGAAGGACGTATGCACCAAGAAGAGGAGATTCGCTAAACATGAGACGGTGATGTTATTTGAAGAATGTAATGCGGTGCTACAAAAGAAATTGCCACCTAAGTTGAAAGATCCAAAGAGTTTCACTATTCCTTGCACAATTGGAAATACTTATTTTGATAAATCTTTGTGTGATTTGGGTGCAAGTATTAATCTAATGCATTTCTCTATCTTTAAACAATTAGGTTTGGGAGAGATGAAACCAACATCAGTTTGTTTGCAACTTGCGGATCAATCTGTCACATACCCAAGAAGAATTATTGAAGATGTGTTGGTTCGAGTTGACAAGTTAATTCTCCCTGTAGATTTTGTGGTTCTTGATATGGAAGAAGATTGTGAAATCCCGATTATCCTAGGCAGGCCATTCTTGGCCACTGTGGATACTGTAATTGAAGATCGAAAGGGCCTAGTCACATTGCGAGTACAAGGAGAACATGTGGTGTTTAAAGTTTTTAAAGCTATTAAGTGCTCGAATGAGGCGGAGTGTTTTGAAGTCGATGTTTTGAACACGGAGGTGAATGTGGATGTCAAATCCGATGCTACCAATTATGCACCTCTTCTCACTGATCTTGCTTAAACTGTTCTGCAGTCCGGTTGAAGACTATAAATTTAGCGCTTTTTGGAGGCAACCCAAATTTTCTTTTTTTTTATTTTTCCTTTGTTTCCTTTTATTTTTTGTCATTTTATTTAGCTTTGAATTTTGTTTCTCTCTTGCTCGGCTACTGATCATTTCCTTTTACCCTTTGTTTTTGTGGGTTCATGTTGTTGCCATTCAACACAAGTTAGAACTCTGAAACATCGAAGTTTGGGGGTGATGATTTCTTTGGAAATTGCATGTACGAGTTGGAACACAATGACTGCCATGTGGGGCATAAACTAGGGAAGTGTCTTACTCCTAATGCTTTTCCTCGTTCATGTCATTTTTTTTTTATTATTATTTCATGTGTTGAAAGACATTAGGGACAATGTCTAGTTAAAGTTGGAGGGATAGCTTGTGATGCAAAGTTCATATTTTCCAATCGAAATTGAGATGGGATGCTACTGTTTTTGGCTTGCTCTAATGTATACTTTCTCAAAATTTTTGAATTCCATATCCTTTCTTTTAATAGCCAATAACCCTTATCCCCATTACAACCTGACAAAAGACCTTTTGACCCAAGGAATTACTTGAAATTGACACCGAACTAGGTTGATAAGCAAGCATATAGCGGCATGTTTAATGAGATCATTAGAGTGAAATACATAACCCAGATATATGTTTGAATGAGTGTATGCCCTATGAGAAGGTCACTTGTTTGCATATGATGATTTTAATAAGCTTGGAATTGCATTGGCATGGCTATTACACACACTACACTACAAGGATGATTGAAAGGTTTCGGCTAACACTTGGAATATGGTTGATTCACTTGCTTTGTGCTTACGAAAATTCTTGATTATTATGAACTCTTGATTGAGATTCTTTAAGATCATAGGAGGAAGCTAACATTTTCCATGCTATTACTTTTCATGTTTTTCATTCTTTTGCTTAGGGACTAGCAAAATGTAAGTTTGGGATTATTTGATGAGCGCAAATTGTATACTTATTTTATCCTGAATTACATTTACTTGTGATATATTGAATTTAAATGTAAGGAATTACATGTCATTTGTATTTTTATGGCTAAAATAACATGATGGAGAAATATATCATAACTCTTTTATCTTTAAAGCTAGTCAAGTGAGTTTGGTACGTATTTTAAATGGCCATTTATCTAGTGCTCTAACTATTTAACCATTTGTTCTTTTGAAATATTAAAAGCCGAGACCACCATGTGCTAATTGATTTCAATATGATTGGATGCAGGATGAGAAATATAGAAGAACATGTGGCCACAAAGCTCATGAAAGGTTGTTCTTATCATTTCATCTGCATAGAAGAGAGAAAAAGAAAGAAAAAAAACTGATGCTATCTTATTAATTTCTAAGGAGCAATCATGTAATATCCCGAAAATATTAAGTGGATTTTGGTCCATTATGATCTTTTACTTGAGACCAACCTTTGGAAGAAAAAAAATTATATAACAGAACTTCCATTTCGTCTAGTTTCCCAAGTAATAAAATAATTTTTAAAGGATTGTGCCAATGTTTGTCGGATTAGGTAGATTTTCGTATCCTAAGAACATGTGGTGTATCCATAGAAAAAAAAAAAAGAAAAAAGAAAAAAGGGATGCTTACGTGGGTAAGAAAGGATAAAAGGGGAATGAGGTTTCTAGAGAACTCTCTCTCATCTTGCTCTTCTCCAGCTGAAGGAGATGAAGTGATTCATCTCTTTTAGCTCTTAATTTACCAAAAAGAAAATTTGAGGAGGAATTAGTTTTCTTTTTCTTTATTTGTGAAGATTAGGCCAAGTGAGGATCCTTCTTTTGTCTTTATTAGAGGTATCTATTTTTTACCTTAGAAATCTATTTGATATTTGGTTTGATAACCCATGAATTAGTTTGGGTGGGAGTAGGAAACATGAAAGTATCATATTGCATGTTATAGTTTTATAGATGAGCACCAAGTGCTTGATTAAAGTCCCCAATTAACCTTGAATTAGGGTATGTTGTCTAGTATTTTGTATGAACAGTGTGTGATGATTTTTCTTACTTATAGATAAGGAAGAGAAGAACAAGGTGACTACTGAACAAGTCGACGAACACCATGGGAGTTGAATATCAATAAATTGTGTTGAGGTAGGGGAATTTTTAACCATAAAAATATTTAGATTTTCCATTCTTACTTGATAAAGAATTGTTGGCATTTGAGCACTATTTCAACCTTACTTTAATGTTTTCCATTATTGATTATGTGAAAGAAGTGAAACAAATGTTTTTCTATGGGTTGATTTCTAATGATTTTAATTTTCTTCCTACAACTTTGGGGAAGTTTAAAATGATTTGAAGGGCTATCAAGATTTCGTTATTAACGTGCATGCCTTTTATGTTACTCATTATGAGATTCTAATTAAAGCATGTTGAGATGAATGTTTGATTTTGAAAGTAGATGGAAAGTAGTATAATACCTGTGCTGTTTAGAATGTTGAGAAATGTATGAATGGGCACAATGACCCGTGAAATTGTTAGATTATGAGCACAATGACCCAATGTTCCCCGGAGAAAGCTCCATGTGTGGGCTGTAAGAATGAGTTATCAATGTGACAAATATGTGTGGTATATATGTTGGCTAGGTATATTACGATTCTTTCCAATCTGCTAATCACTTGTTTGGGATAAAAGAGAAATTTTGTGATCAGTTGTGCTATTGTTTCTTTTAATGACAATGGCTCTATTGTCTTTATGATGAAAGAAGTGTTTTTGAACTATGTGTTGTACCGTGTTGTTATCAAAGCTGTTTATACTTTGAAACTTTGGTTTTCCTACCGTCTGTTACTTCCAAGCATTTTAGAGTATAATTCCATTGTCGGATTACGTAGTGGTGGATATAAACTGCTTCGAATCACTGTTATCATTTTTCAGCATGCACTAGAAATTTTAAATGACTACGGACTTACCGAAAAACCCCTACTGGGCATTTTATGCGCACCCGTTTTTCTAAAAATGTATTTTTCAGGTGGTGTAGGGTTGACTAGCTAGGTTTCGAGTTGCAGCTCTATTCTAGACTAGTAGAAGGGAGTCCGGACGTATCTTTTGGGTGAGCTGCCAAAGTATTTGTATAGTTAATCTTACACTGTAAATGATCTTTTTGTTGCGTTGTAGACTAAGAAGGGGTAGGCCAAAATGGGTTAGTGTCTCTACTTACCTGGGCAATGAAAACCATGTGTATATATAATTACCTATCTTTTGGCTTGTATAAATTATGCTCATGTACATTTTCATCAAATGACTTGAACACGTTTTTCTTGTATGAAACCTTGAAGGTCTTTTCTGAACTTATTATAGTCTGTAAGGCTTAATGAATTGCCTTTGGAGAATCACTATGAACTGGGTTATGTTTAAAACTGTGGGTGATTATCTACTATCTGGGTGACATTCTGAACATTTCAGATTTGTACCCTTTGGAACATATTCAGCTTTATTTCCAAAGTGACTTGGTGCTGCTAAAACTGTTTTTAGAAAAACAACAGCATGCCTGTTTTAGATTTAACTTTTTCCTAGACTTCCCCAACTCAAAAATCAATGAAATTTTAAAACAACTTAGTTTTATGTGTCTATTTTGGATCTGGAAATTTTCACACTTTTTTGTTGAACGAGTTATTTTTGGTGAATTTTAAGGTTCAGATCGTCTTTGCAATTTGTATTACCACAAGAAGTCTTTAACTCTATTTCTTTAAGTTAGCTTTGTAGTTTTGGATTAATGTATTTGTTGAGTTTAAATTTTCATTGACAAAATCTTAAGCTAATATTGTTTTACACCCTTAAACAACCACTTTGTCCTATTTATTTCTCTTAATCTCACACCTCAAGTTTTGGGGTGTGACAAATCAATAGCAAGTAAAAGGCACGAGATTATGTATTTCTTCATTGAGAAATAAATGGAGGTGTGTAAATCCACAAAGTGGCCATCAAGGAATTCAATTGTCATCTCTTCTTTTACTATCAACAATAAATCGATGTTAAGTATTCGTCGGTTATGGAGAATGAAAGAAGGAAGTTAAGGGGAAAGACAAAAGAAACCAAAAGGAATAGATGGAGTTCAATTGGCATTAATTTGGAGATAATTGGGGCTGTTCATTATGGAAGAAATGAATGAAAGAGGGAAGAAGAAAAGGAAGAATAAGACAAGCAGAAGAAGGAAGCAAAAGTGGGCAAGACAAAGAAGGAAAAAATTGCGGATTAATATAGTTAATTGGCTGGTCATTGTTCATTAAGGAAAGCGAAAAAGAAGAGGCATTAAAGGGAGGCAAACTGAACATCATTCAACAAGAAAAGAAAAGGAGAAAAATTTTGCGGCAGTTAGAGATCAAGGGGAAGAAGGCAGCAGCAAAGCAAGAGATTTTCAAGCTTTTCTAAACTTAATTTTCTTTTAATTTTATGAATTCAATAATATTTCCGATTATGTTTCGGAACTGATTTCTTTTTGCTAGGGCTACGATGTAGCCTAACTATAAATTCTTAATTTCTCAGTTTAACTATTTATGAAGTTTCATTCACTTTGAGTATTATTTTGCTGTGCTTATGAGCTTGATTTTAATTTTGGTGATTGGTCACCACTTTGGTTTGAGTTGAGTGTATTTGATGCGAGTTAACATAGATGTCATGTTGTTAATTTGGTTTTATCATATTGCAAATGGTACCATGAATTCCTTGATGTAAATGTCATACACTAGGTTTCATGTGGTCTCTTAAGTAGTTCTCAAATTGTTAATGAACTCGTGTGTGTTTAGTAATCTAGATGCCATAGATTGTTAGCACATATGAGTATACATAGTAATCTAGATGTCATGGATACTATATGAATTAGAGGAACTAGACCATCAATTTGGATGATTACTCATTAATAATTAACTGTAGAAATTGAGTTGGATTGGTTATGGTAAATCGGATGCTCTACTGTCTTTCGCAATTGATTTATAATTTGATTTCTTTGTTGTTCTTGTCATTTATTTAAGCTCATTTGATTTTTGTTTACGTTTACAATTTCAAATTTCTTTCTCAAATCATCAATTTTTCCATTTCAATTCAAGTGCAATACAAATTAAGTTAGATAATTAGAATTATTTCAATCTTGGTTGGAACAATCTTGCGCTTGTCTACTATACTACTTAACGATTCGTACACTTGCAAGCATTAAAATTTGGACTTAATTGGGTTGATTTCGGTTAATCTAATTTTGGCAACACAATTTCATTTATTTTTTTTGTTTTTGATTAAGGAGTGTGATTAGTTTTTAATTTTTTTAAAAAGAGTGTGGGACAATGATGATGAGGCGGTTTCTCTTAATAAGGGCATATTTTTTTCTTAATATAGGGTAGAATAGGGATATGATTGTTATTTTCTCAAAAGGTACATAATTACTATTTTGTCCTCCTTATGTAAACGTTGTGTATCAAATGTGACGATAAAATAGGAAAAATAGAGATATGATTGCCATTTTCTCAAAAGGTTGACAAAGAGAATTTTCTTAATAATAAAAAATAATTAATGTTTTGTCTTATGAGGGTAAAATAGAAATATGATTGTCATTTAAAAAAAAAAAGGATAAAATAGAAAAAATAGGGATATGATTGTCATTTTCTCAAAAGATAAAAAATTACTGTTTTGCCATCCTAATGTCAATATTGTGTATCAAAAGTAAGGGCAAAATAGAAACAAATGGGATAAAAATTTGACAAGGGAGGTTCTCTTAATAGAATATATAAGAACAAACAATTGCCAAGAATGACAAATACTTTAAAAATAAAATAATCAATAAAAGTTATCCAACTTACCAAGCTAATAAGAACAAGAAGAAACAAATTCAATTTTCAATTTTTCATTAAACCAAATGTTCCATAAAAATTCATTCTATAATTCTATCAAATGACTAATTAACCATGGAACTGCACTGCAGATTCTACATTGGAAAATGGATACTGCAATGTAGAACGCATAAATTACAACAAAAGATTACTCCTGAACTGAGTGGGAGCCTAGCGGCTAGCAAGGACAACTTTAAAGCCACCCTCAACTCAAATCTGGGGTTGTCTCGCATACTTGAGAGAGAGAGAGAGAGAGAGAACCAAGCCGTCCCATCTCTCTCTCTCTTTCAGTTTTCTTCTACTCCAAATTTTCAAGTGGCAATTTCCAAATGCCCAATTCCAAGTTTCTTTACTAGTTTGAAAAACACAATCTTTCTTTCATATTGAAAATTCAATGACCAATTTACACCGATTAACACCAACCCACAAAACCAAAACAAAAAGAAATCAAACTTTCTTGGGCATTGGTTCGCAAAATTTCCTAAAGAAAAAAAAAGTCAAATGGAAGCTGAAGACCGGCAGATACATACAGTAGGGAAGGTACGTGGGGGTCAGTGAGTGAAGAATGTTTTTATTATTGGAAATCCTTTTCTTGAAGATCATAGGAATCACATGATCGTAACTGATCATCGTACATCGTACGATAAAAAATTATTTCAAAATTTAAAATTTAAAATTAAATATAAATAGTACCTAACGAAAACTAACTACACGATGTACGATAAACGGTCATGATCACGGGATCTCTAGAATCCCTAGGAAAATGATCCTGCGAGAATCCTTTTCCTTTATTATTATTAAGAGGAGGGGAGGATTCGAAACTATTACAATAATTTAGTAGAGGGTGAGTTTCGAACCTGTGATGCATGATTGGAAACCAACATCATATTGATTATGATATTGAACCACATGTGGCTGAAGAGTACGTAAACCTATGAAGCGCCGATACTTTAGTTTGGTCACGTATCCTGTATCCTATACTCTATCAAATAGATACTTGTTAAATTCTCACCGGATACATATTATGGTTAACAAGTACAATTTTGACTCCACTTTTGGGATACAAGTATATGGCTTTTAGCTAGGATCCTTTTTCAGATGAGCAACTAAGAGGAGAAAGTAATATAAAACAGAGATTTAATTGAAAGTTGATTAATCGAAGAGCGTGCCTCTATTTGAAACAATGAATATAACTCGCAATTCTTCTTTTGTAGGTAAGGAAGTTTAGATTTCCAACTTTTCTTCTTCAACAAATCAAATGAACTAGAATTTGGATATTTTCATGTTAAAATATGTTTTAATTTATATATTTTTATTGTTGTATCCGTGGCATATCGTATCCTTTAGAGATTTTTATAGTACCGTGTTGTGTCATATCGTATCACCATCCATGCTTCATAGATGTGAATCATCACTTGGAGACGCCAAGTGTGGGGTTCCATCCAGAGCTTGAAACCCTAGAAAAGCTTCAGAAAATTGAAGATGCCCCGCAAAGCTTTCTGGAACAACCGTTTCGATAAGCAGCCCAACTCTGACATACATGGATGGAAAACAGGTACCTTGAGGCTTGGCCAAAAGCCTAATCTGAAACGTTAGGGGTGAAAAATCAAGAAATGTGCAATTGGTTATGGTGTACCGCTTTTAGATTAGGAGAGGCAAGTAAGGGCCTGAAAATATTTTGTTGATTAAAAAGAACTAAAATATGTTTTGACATATGCCTAATTATTAAAGTTTTTATTGATTTTTATGCTGAAAAATCGTAAAATGATTTTGTGATTGAAACAATTTTAGATATTAGGATTATTATTTTTTTGTTTGTTAAAATAAAATTACATAAAAAGGATTCTATTCTTTGCTCCGCTCATGTTTAAATGGTTTATTTCAACATTTTTATATCAATTTTTAAATAGAATTGTAGAGGTAACATTTGAACTAGTAAGGAAATGGATAATATTGTGTTCCCACAGGGAATGCACAAACTATCGACAACCTCACAACTATATGTTTTTTGTTGGCAACCTCTCAAACTCATGAACTTCTATCCCTTATTAACGCATGTCCACACCCCTCTTTGCCTTTCCTCTCTCTCTCTCTCTCTCTCAACATTTGCATGGTTAGGGTTTCCAGTCACTTCTTTTCATGGTTAGGGAATTCCCACTTTACCATCTCCCAACCCCTTGGGATGGAAGTTCAAACAGATTTCAGGCGTCCTTGAAAGCTCAGTCCGACAATGGATCCATAAATCTCAACAATGTTTACCCTTCAATTATTATTTCATGTGGAAAGGCCCGAGAGGCAGGCTCCTTCAGCTTACTTTATGGTCAAAATCCATTGAAAAATTCATTCACACTTTTGTTGTTAGAGTTTGCATTGGTCATCATCCTCACTCGTATCCTCCGTGTTCTTCTCAAGCCATTCAAACAACCCAGAATTGTCTCAGAAGTCATTGTACGTTCCTCTTCTCCCTAAGAGATCTTGCATATTAATTTGTTACTACATATATGCATATACAAAAA